AAAACACCAAATAGATCATCCAATCTTTCCTTCTCCACCAAGAACACAAAGTTCTTCATAACCCAACACCCACTCGAGATTAAGCATATCAACAAACATTCAACAAGAATTAAGGTGCACACAACACCACAATCTACTAACTATCAAGTTCTAGTTTTCATTACCTCCAAAATCCAAGAAAATGGAGAAGGAAGAAGAGGATGAGCTTCGCACGAAACCTTCACTACAACCACTTTGATTTTTAGCTTTATGGCTTCAAATCACTACTCTACTACTCAACCATGAATTGCTACACCATCATGAAGGTTGGGGAGAGGAAGGAAGTAGCTTAAGATTCAAAATTTCTCTCTCTAATTTCTCTCTAAAACTCAAGAATTATGGATTTATGAAATTCATTCCTTTAAGATTCGTCTTATATTATTTCAGTTCAATTCTCACGCAATTAAACTATATTATTTATAACTTAAGTTTAAAAAACATATATTACCGATAGTGTTTTATTTATATATATAAGGGCTAATAAATTAAAAATTATGGTATCTATAATTTGCTTTAAAAGGAGTCGATTAATACATTTCAATTTTGATCTTTTTAGCTGTTGATATAATTTTTTTTGAAGAGAATGAGTGAAGGGTATGCAAGTGTCATTTGCATAAAACATATACAAAATAATTATACTTATTATTAACCATTTATATTTAATAAAAAATATTATTAACCACATATAACAAAATTAATTAGAGTTAATCACCTATACACTGTTAGTGTAAAGTTTTTTTATATTGGTAACCAATCATATTTTTTAATAGTATCATGTCAGTTGTTCATTTAATAAAATAAAAATAAAATAAAATAATTTGAAAGATATAATTAATTTTTGGTATAAAAAACTTTACAATCATGTATGGATGATTAACTTAATTAATTATATTCATTTATGTATTTAACCGCATATGATGGCTGGTGAATAGAAGGCGTAAAACTTTTGTGTGCGGGAGTTTTTTCCTTATCTGAAACAGGAATTAATACAAAACTGCCATTTAGAAAATAATCATCATTAATTTACTTTTTCTTTCATTTCACTTTTACCTTATTTTCCTTTTATCTCTCTTCCTTATTTAAGTGCCCTGAAAAAGTGTATGTATTTTAGTTACATAAAATGAAATTTTATTCTATACATCTAAAATACTTGTTATCATGATAATTTTCAATAAAGCAAGATGCAATATTGGCATCAAGCTATTGTATTTAGGTTATAAATCACAAATCTAAAAAGAAAGGAAAAAGTATTTATTCCCCATAAAAGTTGATTTACAATTCATTATTAAAGCCAACTTTGGAAATAAAAACAATAATGTAAAAGGTCAACTACAGGCTAGATCAATTTAACTATTGGCTACAACAGCTAGACTTGTATATTTGTTGGTCCATTTTCTTAAGCCTTGTTTTCAACTCCCCTTATTAATTGGATTTTTGTGTGGTTTGGAACTTAGAAGCTTAAAATTTCCCTTCATTGAGTGATCTAAATAAAAACTAAGTTATGAAGGTGCGAACCCTTAGGCTTAGGATTAAATTGACAGCTTTAGCTGCACAATTTGCATGGTTCTTGTTCACTTAATTCAATGGTCAATCTAATTTTTCTAGCTAATTATGACACAATTAAAATTATAATATAATTCGAGTTTTATAGTTCATTTCGAACTAGATTAAAGACTACTTTTTATAAATTTCTCTAAAAATATTTATAAGAAAAGAAAATAGAAAAAAAAAACTTTTTTATAAGTTAATATTAATTTATACATAAACTAATTTGTAGAAACTCTTACATATTAGTTATTTCAAAAACTTATTTTTAATTTGTAGATAAATTAATTTTTAACTTATATAAAAGAGTTTTTTTCTCTCTTATTAGTAGTTTTAGAGAGAAAAAAATCCAAACTTCAACTACTATACATGGGCAAGTTGAGTTGTTTTATTTTTGCATCATGTGGGCCTAAGTTTGAAGGAGAAATAGCGTGTAGAAAGTAAGTGGTTTTGACTTTCTATGTGTGAAACCATGGTAAAAATTTTGTGAAATGTTTTAACAATTATACAAGACTTCAATTTAAGGTAATTGCAGGCATATGTGGCTGAGAGTTCCACAAAAAAAAAAAAAAAAAAAAAA